TGATTACAGAGTTTGCAAAACAAACAAGACACTAGATGCCTCACTATTAAACCCTCATTAAGTGCTGTGTGTAAGTTCAGGCACTCTATTCTGAAAGGGAAATGTACACGCTGCAGAATCTGAAGCAAATTAAGAGAGAACAATACTGCTGGTGACATACATGGACAGGCAGAAAGTAGTAAAATTGGTCTTCTGTCTTTGTGTGGAAAGTATGCTTTTGTTCACCGTGGCCAACCAGATGCTGCCTCTGGGAGGTCTATAGCTAGGACATGATGTCAGTTTCTTTCTCTTGCTGTTGCTTCCCAGCTATCGTCTCCAGTAGCAGTGCTGCCAACCATGAAGTATTTATTTAGTGTTCCATTATTAACATTTGTGAATCTGCAATTTTCTTTGAATTCTGTCTAAGATAGTCATGATTTTTAGCAGTCAATTCATAATCATGTGCTGTTCTATATCTTCTTATGACCTCATCACACAGGGTTTTTTTTTAGCATTCTAGGATGCTTCCCCATCAGTTCAGCGACCGATGGGCACCCTGCCCATTATACGATGTTGCTGGACTTCTGGTGGAGGCTCTGCCCACAACTGGAGTGGAAGCGTCATACATACTAAACTTCACTCACAACATAGGGAGTCCTTCCTCTGTGCCACTTCAAAGATGCTTCTCCTGTGTGATGGGGGAAGCGTTGCTGCCATGGAGGCTGGCGAAACGCACCGGAAGAGTCCCCCATATGATAAGGCATTAATCGATCACCAAGCCGCATCCCTCACTTTTAAAAACAGGAATCATTGTGCTCTCTTACAAAGAACATTTTGTATATATATATAGTTTCTTGATCCACTCAGCTCTGAAAAATAGTCTGGCATTTTTATCCCTTCCCTACCCACTTCACCCTCAAAGCCATAGGAGCCCCCGGTGGCGCAGTGAGTTAAACCCCTGTGCCAACTGGACTGCAGACAGGTTGCAGGTTCAAATCCGGGGAGAGGCGGATGAGCTCCCTCTATCAGCTCCAGCTCCTCATGCGGGGACATGAGAGAAGCCTCTCACAAGGATGATAAAAACATCAAATCATCTGGGCGTCTCCTGGGCAACGTCCTTGCAGACGGCCAATTCTCTCACACCAGAAGTGACTTGCAGTTTCTCAAGTCGCTCCTGACACGAGATATATATACCCTCAAAGCCAGGTCAAGTCATTTTGCTGCCTATGGAATAATACCCTCCAAGCCAAGATGCACTTATCAAAAATAGGCAAAGGAATATGGAAAGTAAAGGTAGAGGATCTCACAAGTATCTAGCCCCCATTATAAAAAATACAGCAATAAAGCAATAATCAAATGTCTAGAAGTGTCTAAAATGCACTTCTAAAGTAGACATGGCAACATCCTAGAGAATCCTGGGATTTGCAATTTAGGGAGAGGGTTTCAAGTATTATCAGATACAGAGCTCCAGTGCCTTATCAAATTGCAAACTCCACGTTTCCATAAGTTGTTGCCATGCCTGTTGAAATGGAAGCATAGAATTGTGCAAAGGCTCCTCTGTCATACCCTCCAATGGTAAGCCCCACCTTGTCACACAGCAACTTACTTTCCATTCTTCAACAGAAATGACATAGGTGAAAGAGGATTAAGGAGAGGAGGGAATCGTTTACCATTATTCATTTTCCTAGCAGAAACATTACTGACCTTTCAAATGTTTATTTTCACAACTACAATGTGCCTCTCTCCTGCTTCACTCACTGTATTTCTTTCTCTTTTTAAATTAAAATTTTATTAATACTCACTGTATTTCTGATGCCCCTTGGTTCACACATATACACACACCCCTCCTACTTTTGAAAGAAAAAGATTTAGTTCATTCAAATAGTAATCATTGTATTATTTAGGAATGACTTATAAAAATATGGAATTATACTGTTTGTGTATCATCTTTGAACTGGATGAATCAGTAGTGAAGAGGAAAAACAATCTTCTCCATGCCATCATGCCTATTGTAAACATTCCTTTTTTGAAAAAAAAACGAAACAAAACATCGAAGGAATCTGAGCGCATGTTCCCATGTTTCTATTTTATGCTTTCACTCATTCATCCATTTGGAAAGTTTGAACCGTGTATTATGACCAGATTATGAGCCTGTTTTCCCTGCTCTACCCTTGCTGTTCATTTGATGGTGATTCTGTCTTTGAGTCATTAATTATCTTCTGACTCAGCACAAATCATAGGCTTTGGGAATACCACACAAAAGACCCGATGAGTTTTGTTTGCAGAGGGAAGAGTGCTGACAGAATCAAGTAAGCCTTTTATGAAAATTACTGACCATTCCACTATTTGCATCATTAACATTCTTGAAGGAAATTAACTCACTTACTTCATTTTTGCTAGCAAAGTTTTTAACATGTTTTGTCAGGAACTTAATTTGCATATGACAGAAGAATAGCTGTAGCCTAATGGTTAGAGAGAGCACTATGAATCAGGAAATAAATCTTAAGAAAACTGAAGAAAGAATTGTGTTGTCTTGTTTACATTCCAAAGAAAGAAGTCTGTGCAAACCTAACAAGTTTGAATAAACATATTTTATTTTGAGTTTTAAGCAATCCAAACAAAATTCATCAATATAACATAAATACAAAAAGTATTTAAAGCACATCACTGACATCCAGCTACATGGTATGCAAGAACTACAGCAAACCTCACAGGAGCAGCAGAAAACAGGACTTGGTGAATAACGGTAATGACTCCTAGGGGCGAGCTATGTTCACATATACAGGGCCTACAGACTTTCTGAAATAAAACTAATTGGGTTAAACCTCAGGGTCCTTGAAGAAATAGATAAGTATTTCCTTTAAAGTAGGCACACATCAGTGCTCTGCTTATTTGCAGAATTTAAAGAGACTTGATAAACAGGAAACATTCTCCAATTTGTAGGTCTCAATCATACAGTTCACCTTGCAAGAGGAACAATTAAACAAACAACAAAAACAAGTGATAGCATCTTAGATTCAAGATAAAGGATGGATAGTATAGGCGTGATCCCAATAGATACTACTCATATAAGCCCTAACAGGGTTTTGTTTTGTGTCTCTCGGGTAGCAGCTTCCTGTTTTACATGGGAAGCCACATTACACACTATAGGGAATCTTAAAAGCAGCTTGATTGGGCTGTCTGCTTTTGTTGGAGAAAAAGAGAAAAATTCCAATGGCTAAGTCTGAAATTACTCTCTGGGTGCAGCTAATAGCAGGCTACTATCCTAGAGTCTTGTATGTAACAAAATCCTTCTATAATAAACTTTTTCCAAATAACGTTTTTTACTTGTGATGTGTGTGTTACTTGTACATCACCTAAAACTAAAACTCTTAGTCAAATAACATGATTTTCAAAAACACACTAGCAATTGAAAATTTAAGCTAATTTCACAGTTGTCTTTGGAGTAGGGCAATACGCATTTTTTTCTCATTAATGCTCTTTTTCAGAGTGGATATTAAATACAGGAACTAAAATTTAGGGGAGGGGTAATCTCAGAACTATTTGTTAAAGAATCTACTATGGCTTGTTCCTAGATGTGTATGGCACTAAATCAAGTATTCTTAACAGCAAAAGATTGAAGCAAACAGTTTGGCACACCACCCACCACTTCAAATATGTATTTTTCCTACATTGGCATATACTTCAGTGCCACCTAGTGGTCAACCTTATTTTATGTATGTAGTACGATTTAAAAGTTATTTTTTCAGATGGAAAGGCAGCAGAATTTCCATTATACAATAGGTGAGTATCAGTGGTGGTTCTCAAACACATATTTTCCAAGGAATTTATTACTTTACATACTAATATCACTAAATTGATGTATTATATAGGATACAGCCAAATCAAATTATCTTTATATTAATTCAAAATGTATGAATTTCATCTCTTCTCTATCTCCTATCAGTGACAATATTTCAACAATAACTGTGATCTCATATACTCCCAAAACCAACAGTCCCTTTGGAAAACAATTCAGAGGTATCCAAAGGATTTTAAAAACATATTTAGTGAAATAATTGCTACATAAAATGTGTTTGTTGTGAGAAACAAGAAGCTATAAACATGAAGACTCAAAACCACAGTATAAATGAAGGGCAAATCTTTAATGTCTCCATCTTCAAAATTGAAAGATTCCATGCTATGATATTACCAAGCTATCACCACAGATAATATTTACTGTGTGGAGGTGGCATCCTTCCTATTGCAGTAACTGAAATTAAACTTCTTTTACCAGCCAAAGAGCTGAGACCATGTTACAAAAACATTTGGGATCTTTACAGCTAAATCTAAAACTATAAACTTAAACACCATGAAATCAGAACAGGTTTTCTATGGGTTCTAATTTAACCATTCAGTAAAATGCAATGATAGCAGAGAAGTCTCAAGATAAATTGTTCCCTTACTCGCATATGTCCTTATTATTTGTAAAAATTATATTATTAATATAGATCTAATGCCAATACCAAGGGATTGGCTTTCTAAGGCATACTTCCAAATGAAGTTGCATGCAACCGGGCTGGTGGAAGTAGACGTCCTTGCTCCCTCTTCCCACAGAAATCCCCCTGCGCAGCATCCTGAAAATGTTACACAGATGAAGGGGGTGCATTATGATGTAGAAGAAACTGAATAAGCGTGAACTATTCTGTGGGACTAAAGCTCTTTATTTTTTTATCAAGCAAAAATGAACTTGTGTACTTGAGTGACTAGAAATTCTCACTGACAGCATAATGGCTAAGTTAAGTCAAGGAAGTTTTAATTTATTAGCAGTGTGGATGACATAGGTATATACTGAGTTGTACAGTATGGAAGCTCACTAATATAAAGTCTACAAAGAGAAGCCGAACCATAGAACTTGTTTCCCAAAAACTCAAACATATTATAGACTTAGGGAGTCACCACAATTTTAATAAACTGTAAGTTAAATTTGTCCAGAATGAGCTTCGGTCATTGAAACCCCCTAGATAGTTTCTACTGGGATCTACAACACTGATTTCACCTGATGGAAGAAGCAGAAAAATACTGGTCTTGTTTGGATGGGAAGTTAACACGGCTTCATAATATGGCTACAGTACAGAATTTGCCCCTTGCTACTGTTAACAAAATTTAGAATCAAATCACATCCTTATGATATGTACATATAATGAGGTCGCATACAACATTGAGAGCAAGCCATTTTGCTGCTCGATGTTGAAAGGGTGCAGAAAAATTGCACTGGAGGTCAAAAGGTGTGGTACCCAAATTTACCCACATAGGAAAAGTTGCAAGTGAAATAATTTGTCACAAAACAGAGGACTCACAGGATCAGTTGGATGATTCCCCCCCCCCCCTTCAAGGTGTCTATACACATGTTGTAGTCTCATTTTCAAATCTAGCACACAATAACTCAGTTTCTGTACATCTCACAGAGAATAATCAATTTTTACATTTCTTTTCAGACCTTATTTTAACCTTACTTTCAGAGACACATAAACAAAATCGGAGGTCAGATGCCCTTCTAAATGCTATTGGTAAAAGAGTGCAAGATTTAGGATATTTCATACATGGGTCTTAGGCTGCAATCCTATACACACTAACCTAGAAGAAAGTCCCAGAGAACTCAAAGGGACTCATTTCTAAGTAGAAATGTATACAATTATTTAACTCAGGACATGGCTCCAAAACATTAAAAAAAAAAAAAAAGAAGGGCAGGAAATCTATAAAGGCATGAAAGTCACAAGCCAATAAAGGCATAAAAGTGCAAGTCACAATTTAAAGATAAATTAATTGTGTTAAGTACACACTAATGAATTCACAATCTTTTCTCCTTAGAGTCATTACCAGTTATGTCAGTGAAGTAATACTTGGTTAGAAAGCCCACTGAGGATGGAAGTATCTCTATAGCAGCTGTACTATAACCACAGAATAGATGACAAAAGTAAAATGCATGTATTTATTGTTAGAACATTAAAAGCGGTTATTTGCCATATGTAGCTAGTATGAGCAAAGCAAAGAACCATTCTTAAAATGTAACAAATAATGCTGCATAGGAGCTGTTAACATAGATTTTGAAGGCTGGACATTCTAAAAAATGCAGAAGCTTTCATTTTATAAGATCTTCTGCAAAGCATTTCAAGATGAAGCAAGGAATAAGTCAGAAGGGAATGTTTAAACCAAAGTATTTGATTATTTATTTATTGTTTGTCAATACCAAACTTCAATAGTAGTGCTTTTTTGGCATAATATTGATGCACTCTAATGATCTTCAAATCTAATAAAGAGTTCTGATGCTCTAATTAATGGAGGTTTCAAGTTGGTTTGGGATTAGGCCATAGATAAAAGCAAACAAAGTTTTGAATGACCAAACACTGCCCTGTATTTGTTGCTTTTCGGGGATTTTAAAGCAATTCACAAAAGCTCTTCTAGCACCTAGACCCAACATTCAGTTCTTTGTAGGCGGAACTGTCTTAATCAAGAGTCCCGGTGGGCTTTTTGGTCACAGACTGTACAGAGCCCAAGAGAAGAGAACTCTGCCTCAGGTGGATCCTTCCAAAGGCTCTTCTCCATTTCATGGCAGAAAATACTTAGCGTAATTAACATGCCTAGCGGCACTATGAATGTCAGGTATCAAAGTAGTCAGAACTCCACAGAATATTTTACCACCTGCAGTCTCCATCTCTGCAAACAAAGGCCACATTTTTGTACTGAGAAAATTAAGCTTCCCTGTAAGACCCCCTGAGGTAGTAAAATGGGGAGCTTAATGTGAATCGTTACCTCTCACTTTATTTCACACTGCAAAACGGAGTTCGAGACATGACCAATTATGAATCTGCTGAAACAAGGGACAGGCCCACTTTTCCTTCCAACAGGTTACTGTGCAGTAACAGAAAATGAATCTGAATGCAGCAATGAACTGGCATGGAAATGAATACACATGCTTCGCAATATGGACACACATTATGACCCTCATGTCTCACCAAGTCCCTGATGCTTACTGCATAGCATTAGAACAGCTGACACAATAGGAGAAGTTTGCAATTGAAATATGAGGCGTTTAAAGGCAATCCCCCAGGAGCAGCTTCAGGCTATCACATTGCAAAATATGCCATATGATAAGGCAGCATGAGTGAGCATGATTGCCTGTCAGTCTTCCATTTTGTCCACACAGCTGCAGATCCTTGATAAGATTTTTCGGCTGCCTATCATACTGAGAGTTCATGGTCCACTGCAAGCTTTTGGTCTTCAATTTCCTAAGAACTTGTGGTACCACTGCTATCCGTTGAGAAAGTAGACTACCACTTCATACGTTGCCATCATTATAGCTGTGTTTGGTATCTGTCTAAACAAGTGTGTTGTTAGGCCACGGTAGAGAGAGCCATAGCCTTCTTCTCGCACCAGTAAAGAGAGTGTTTGGAAAAAAGATCTGTACTTTGTTCCTTCTTCTCGTAGCCTTGTTCGGACAACCTCTGTATAAACAGGAAGATAAAACATTGATTTTTCAAATATACAAACATACATTTCAAGTGTAGAAAGAATAACATCCCTTATAATGAAGTAAGAGGAAAGTATAGAGAGGTACCACTGTTTTTAAAGTAAAAATTTCTTGATAGAATTATAAAAGTTGCTTTACATATTATTTATTTTAGACTTTGTAAGTGGCGGGGTGGGGGGGGGGCACAAAATATGGTGGAAATACCATCCCCACATCTTATAGTGCAATTGGCAACATTCTGGAGGAAAAATAAATTGAAAATACTCACACACACACAACCTTTGGAAGCCTCCCCTCCCTGCCTCCAGAGGACTGCTTGCAGAATGCAGTCCACATTTTGCACAAACCTGTCCCACAGGATACTTATAAAGAAGCCTGGCTCCTCTCTATTCATTTTTGCCTATTTGAATACATAAGCTGGGTTGTTTACAAATACAGTAGGAAATGAGATCTATCAATTTCAATGTATTTTCTCTAGGCTGAACCAATTTATCACATGCTTTCTCAACAGATTTGATTAAAAAGGACACAATCAATCCAAAACAAAATGATCATGTTATCAGCACAACAAGTTTGTGGACCTCATTTTTCTGGGGAAGTCTTACCTGTCTAGAAAAAGGAAACTAATCTCTGTCTCTATGTTGTTTTAACTTCTCTCTCGTTGTTGTTGTTTTTGAAAAACAGAAGTTAATTTGAAGGGGGTCATATTAAATACTTATGTAGATCATTTTTATCTGATCTCAAATACCATAAATCCCAGAAACTACAAATTTTAAACCAATCATGTTCATTTCTTAAGCCAAGCAATATTAACACAGGACTATACAGTATTTTACTTGCAATAAATGGGGAAAGACTTTTATTATTATAAAAAGACATAGATCTTGAATACATCAGCAATCCATCCTTACCGTGTGGATAGGCTATTGATGTGGCACATGTTTTGGAAGTGGCTGCAGCCATCATCATGCCAACAAAGTCTGATGCTTCCTTGACAGATTCATCTTCCTCATCCATCGCAGAAGCAGATTTATATTCCAGCAGTCTTCTCTTAATACTCTCATATATCACGAAGTGAATAACAGTCTCTGATATGCCTGCATAAGAGGCAGACATTCCTCGGTAAAAACCTTTAATTCCATCTGCATGATAGACTTTGCGAACACATTCAAAAGCACTCATCCGCTTTTCCCCACGATTTCTGAAAAAGAGGATTAAGAAACATCCAATACCTTAAACAGGCTGTTAAAATTTTGCCAGGTGCAGATATCCTGTGCCTGTAAATCAAAGTTCCCAAAGAATAAATTTCAGGAATTTACCTCAATTACTGATAAGGAAGGTTATGAATTTCCACGTACGCATACAGAAATTTTGGCAGTAATCTGACTGAATGGCATTTAAATTTTATACAGTTACAAGAAAATAACCCTTCCCTTATAAGGAAACAAATGAAATAAAATCCTATAAAGGCAGTGCCTCTTTGATCTCTTGGTGCATTATGCCTGCCTTAGTCTAAAATATTATGAGAATGATAAAGGGAATGACAGGTATAAGAAACTTTCTTACAGCAGCCATTACACTGCTTAGGTATGATGAAGGGGAGAAGCTATCCTGTCCACGCCCAGTGTTTTCATTTCTGGCATTCATGTCCTCATGAATATGAGCATGTTGAGCATAGATTAGGAGCGATATTCCCATCCATGTTTACCAACAATATGAAATGTCCTGTTGACTTGATCATTGGCTTCTTCAGCCTAATACTATGCATTCCAAACAAACAAACAAAAAAACAAGGTCTTTCCTAGACCTTCCAATAAAAAAAACACTGAACAATACATAAACAAATAGCAAATAAATCAGAAATGCTAATTAATGTATATATTTTTTTTACCTTGCATCAAGTTGTAATCGTGTTTTTATTAACCAAATTGGATTGGTTGCTGTAATTGCAGTAAAACCTAAACAAATGTTTGAAAACAACAAATTAGGTTTGCTAACATCACAGAAAATGGTTTGTTATAAACTAAAATATACACAACAAGTACAAGTCAATGTGAACTGACATGCACTACACTAGTTGTTAACAACTAGAATGTCTGTAATGACATTTTATTACTTTTGAAAGTCCACAAAGCCAATAATCTTTTGCCCAATTACTTGAAAAAAATAAATATCTTATTGTTAATTATAAATTATAAATATATATCAAACCCAATTTGTGCCAGTATGCTCACACAAATCCCCTTTTGATATATTTTAGCAGCATGACTGAGACTACGCTAACTGAATTTAAATGCACTCCAAATAAAAACAAATTACAAATGAAACTAAAGCATGTCAAGAAGAGCATAAAACTGAGCATAAAATATTATCTGTAAATTTAATTTATGTATCAAAAATATAATGCAAAGTATATCACATTTACTTAATGTTGTATAGCCCAGACACACATCTGTACATATACATTATAATACTGAGTTACACAGTATAATAAAGTGAGATTTTTTATTGACTATGCCAGAAGACTTCTACTTAGCATTCAAAAGCATAGATTGTTGGCAGGACCCAGTAATATTTGTACAAACACAGAAAAGTTAAAACAATACTATTTTCATACATACTATGGACTCCTTAGAAGCAAGACAGTAACTATTCAAAGTCTTCATAGGGTCAAGAGACAACGCGGCTCTATTATCTATCTTGTGGATAGATAAAAAAATATATCTCCTCTCACTAGAAAAGCAGTTTGGGATGACTGCTTTCAATAGCTGTTCAAAGTTATTAGTCTAAAAAACAAAATATTTATCAGATAATACATTTGTAGAGGACAGCTACAGATTGTGCTAGACCCAGAGTATCCAATTTATTGCTATAGCTTTTATTTTATCAGTATATTTAGAAAACATTATCACTATGCAAATTCTGCTCTCTTCTTGCAGAAAAGGGCAACAGGGATTTTAGAGTGAGTGTTCAGGAGCATCTTGTTGGGTGCATCTCTCGTACATGTTTCAGCTACACAACATGCTTGAAAACTATACAAAGACTATTGGGGCTTTTGGGACCATCTCTGTTAACTTGGAAAAGCTACAATTTAATAGCTGAGACAACAAATTCAGCCCCAGTTAGTTCAGTTCAGCTTACTCCCAGTAAGCATGCACAGATTATAGCCTAAAGGTTCAGAAACATAAATGCCAAAGGAACTTAACTGTTTTAAAGTTTAGTTACTATTAAAAGTTCAAACTCTGATTGCTTATAATATTTAAACTGCTGACCAAAGTGGTTCAAGTTAATTGGTAACATGACTTTCACTCTCTGTGACAAAAAACCCTCCATTAAAATTTCGCACCTTTCCCATTTCAAGTGTCTTTTTCAATTAAAAAAAAGACTAAAGCTTTGGTGCTCTCTTTATTTTTATTTAGGTCTCATAAAACCCACTTTAGCATTTGACGATTCAGGGGTGACCGTACTACAAGAAATTATAAGAAATACACTATTTGTGTTAAGAATCACTTTACTTTTCAAGAAGGTGGTGCATTTTTCTTGAATATAACTTTTATTGAAACCAGCCTGGCACAATTTGGCAATGGTAAGGGGCCGAAATTAAATTAGGGGAAACCTCTTTGGRCTGAAGGTAGGTTTTTAGCACCTCACTTTCCCAGCGAGAGGCTGGTGCAGGGGTTTGGCTTCCCCTCACTGGCTGGCCCTTTTTTTTTTTTTTTTTTTTTTTTTTTTTTTTTTGATMTGCTTGCCTAAGGCAGGCAGCAAAAAGAAGAAATGACAAGGGGAAGCCAAGCCTTTCGGCCCTTTGCCAGCCTGGTGAAGAGGGTGGGCTTCCTCCTGCTGGTGAGCCCTTTCCCTGCCTGTCCTGTGTAGGCTGCAAGGAAGTCCTTTGTGGGCTGCATCCTACCCATGGGCCATATGTTGTGCAGGCCTGATTTAAACTAAGGATGGTCGTCTCACCTTTAACTATGTTGCCTAGGGCTTGTGAGAGTTGTGGGTTTCAAGCATCTGAACGTGTAACACTCCTCTATCTCTGATTTAATCATAAAGAATATCTTACTAGATTAAGATATGATTTTGTGCTTCCTCTCCCAAACATTCTGACAAAGAGTAAAAAAAAATTATTTTGTCTTCATTCTATAGGTTTTTGATAATGGTTAAGATTGCAGGCAGACCACTATCTTTAGCCAGGGAAGGCTGAATTGATTATATCCACCTTTTAATTAACAACTATTGCCATATTTTCTTGATTTTATTGTTCTTATTAATTTTATATGTTTGGCTTTAAATATGTTATTGGTTTTAATGTTGTTATATTGTATTTTATATGTTGTACGGCACCACTGTGTGCTTGTAAGCTGCACCAAGTCCCTATGGGAGATGGTGGTGAGGTATAAATAAAGATTATTATTATTATTATTATTATTATTATTATTATTATTAGGCAACATATTAGAACAGTGGTTCTCAACCTGTGGGTCCCCAGATGTTTTGGCCTTCAACTCCCAGAAATCTAACAACTAGTAAACTGCCTGGGTTTTCTGGAAGTTGTAGACCAAAACACCTGGAGACCCACAGATTGAGAACCACTGCTCTAGAAAGAGCTAATGCAAATGTAGAATGTATAATGTGTTTTAATTTGCTTTGATACTGTCTTGTGATAATCTGTATTATGTAAACCGCTTTGAGTCGCCCAAGGGCTGAGGAAAGCGGTATAGAAATAAAGTAAATAAAGTAAATAAATAAATAAAATTATCAAAATGCAAGAAACAAAGGAGCTACATTCTTCAAAGACCTAGAAGAATCATCAGGAAGTAGTTTTATCGAAAGCTAATCTGTTATAATGAGAGCCTATGCATGTTGTATTTAGAAGTAAGCTGCATTGAAATCAATGGGGCATCCCCAAATAAGCATGTATAGCTTTTTCAGCCTTATCGTATTTTCAGTTTTCAAGCTAGAACAAAGTTGAAACTTAGAGGAGACTGGTTATAAAGGTAATCTAGTTCAAGTCTCCAGGGCACAAATACGTCTTAAAATGTTTAGCTCACCATTTGTAAAATCTATATAATCCTGAAAAGGAGCCTCAGAATTGAAGAATAGGTTGTTGTACAACTCCTGTTCCAAAATTTAAAATGTTTAGTGTTGATGTGAATAAGCAAAAGTTCTAATGCATCTTGTCTGATATATTCCAATTTGCTACTGAACTCAGTGGGAGCAAGCAAATAAGCCAGGAACTCTTACTATAGTTTGCTTCGCATGACATCTGAACCAGAAACTCTGGTTCATCTGGTTTACTCAGAAAAAATAAACAAACAAGATTTCATGCTAAACAAATTACAGATGACATCTGACTTGTTTATCTACTCTTGATGGCTGGAGGATCAAAAACAAAATTTGCTTGTTACCATAAGCCATATTCTTACTTATAAGGGGCATTTTTGAGGCAAAAGAAGAGATTTCAATATAAAACAATTAATTTCCCAGGAATGTATCTATATTGACTTTATTTGAATGTCATAATATACTTGTTAAATTAATGTGAATATATATAATGTCAAGTAAAGGGGGAGCAACAAATGATGTTAACAGCAGTGCTGTTATTTACAGTTCTAAAACAGTCTCTGATTTAAAAAGAAAAAAAAAGAAATTCTGCCTACTGTTGACATCAAATTTACTTCACCAAGGTGGCTAAAGTACACAACAGTGATGAATAAAATGTTTCCAACTCTTCCCACATTCCACTGGAAGAAATAGCTGAACGATGTTTTAAAAAAGCGAATAAAACTCGAATTCAGATATAAAGATTCCCCTTACGTTTTTTGTTTAAGAGTGATTACAAACCCAAAGTGTGGTTCTTACGCTAGAGGCTGCAAGAGATGCTCAGTTCAGTACTCACGAGGTTTAAGTTAGTCCATATTTCTGCAGGAAGTGACCTGCGGATGGGGAGCATGAGATGACACGATCTCACTCTTTTCACGGGAGAAATGTACAGTAAATGCCTAAAATAGACACAGGCTTTTCTGTATCATAACAACAAGCAGTGACCTCATCAGAAACATGTGACAAAACTGAATCCCAATGGAAGGATTTGTGAATTATTAAATGGTGAGATCTAACTTTTAAAAGTTTAGAACAATAAAAATGTAGTACAAGGCCACAGGTATTTTAAAAAAGGTTTTGCAAAATGTTCTGAGTACTGAAATTTCTGCCATCTGCAGCAGTTTAACCATGGAAAATACTTACCTATATTTGTTAAAGCCAAAAGTATTGCTTTGGGTTTTTAAAAAACAAAAAATGCTAACCTTGTCACATAGAGTAGAAAAACATGATTTGATATCACACTGAGACAAGTATAATTTAAAATATGAAGCCATTCCTGAACTGAATATCTATTTTGTACCTAGTTTTGTAATAGCAGATAAAGCTAATTTTGTGTAATTTTAGGAACATGTAAAAAGAAAACTTACAGAATAAGAACAAAAAACAAAGTTCAATGAGGCAATTATCTTGTAACTTGAATGAACTCTTGTCAAGAAATATGCAGGTGTTGCATCAAATATGTGAGACCAATTACTATCTGCAAAGGCCGCAAGGTTGCAATGACGACAACACGCTGACATCAAATTGTTTTTCTATCTTTCATTCTACAGCACAATGTCAGAACACAAGAGTTTCCAAATGTGCACATCATTCAACATTAATGCAACATAGGGAACAGTATTTCTTTGTAGGTATGATTTCTTAAATGTACACAGCATTGCCGCACAACAACATCTGCCTCAAAAAGGAAGGCAAATCTAAGGTCCAACTCACCATATGGAATAGTTCTGTAAGGCCAGTGGAATGTGTGTGTGGATTTCAGCTAAATACATTAACTTCAGATATAGTATAAAAGATGACAACTGAACATGGATTTCCTTGTCATTCCAGTAGACAGCCCCCAGAATTATGAATAATATAATCAGACACAAAACTTTCTGTTACAATCAATGTTTTGATTTGGTTGTTGTTGTTTATTCTATCTATATCTATCTAAAACAGTAAGCCACGTGTAGTATTTTGTTGCTCCAGAACTTTGGACTCTGCCTTAAAATTGGTAATGAATTATTACTATCCATCCCATACAGAAAAGGCAGGATATGAAGATTTTCTGAGCACATAAGTGCCCTGGTGACTGGATATTGAATGGTGTTGACAACTATATCCAGTAGTTATATGACTCTCTTTAATATTACGAATATGAGAGGCTACGTTAAGACTATGTACAAAGTTGAAGTATAACCTTGTCCAGCATATTTCACATAAAAATCAAGGTAGCTTTGTTAATCCATAAAAACAAAACTGAAAATGGAACCCAAAATATAAGGGTAATTGGTAATAACCAATTCTGGCAAAGTAGCTGTCCCGTAAGGGACAGAAAAGATAAAACATATGAGATACCAAAATGGCAGGCTCTGTAAGATTATTTTTATATAAGAAAAACACTATATGACTCGCTAATTTAAATGTAAGTTCTTTGTAAATGATACAAACTGAGAACTGGGGTTTTGATTTTACAATTACTGAGGTACTGAATACATCTGACTGACATGAACACTGGGAACCTGTTGGTGAACTGTACTGGTGTAATTGTTCAATATGCAATATACCATGCACTTTAAAGACCATGCAGGAGCAGCAGGAAGTATGCAGAAAATGTGTGACAGGTGCTTTTCCAAAACAAAACTGTCTTTGCAAGGTAGTTGGAAAGCTTCAAGGGCCGATCTAGAAGCTACATATCAAGAAAATAGGCAACTTGGGGATGGCAAACAGGATTCTAGCCTAAATGTCTGTTAAAATATGAAACCATTAAATATCTTTTGATAACCAAATCCCCCAATTATAAAGAGTTCACCACATTCTTAGCTGATAAATTGATTTTAAGCCAAATCAGATCTTGTTGGCAAACTGGTTATTTTAGCACATGTAAATTTTAAGAAGCAATTACAAAAATGACAAGGTTAGCATTTTTTTCACAAGCTACGTTGTTAACAGCCCATTAGATTAGTTGCATGGCTGGCTAGCCAACAGTATGAGGCAGTATTTTATGCATACTGAAGCAGACCTTTTAAAATTTAGTCTGTGGGATTTTTAGTAACCTAAAGCTATTCTAATTCAAGAAAAAACATAGCTACCTTCACAGTCAATCGACACGGGATAGTCTTTTTCACCATTAATGTAGTTTAGGTGCATAACTGCAAAGCTGAACATTAATGCCTGTCAGTATTGCAGAAGCACCTGAGCATGATAATTTCAAGTAATAAGAACAGAGCAACTGAAGTGCAAAAAGGGTAGCTTTTAAGAATAAAACATACATATCACAAAGTAGCAACTATATAAATAAATGCAAAAAATAACTGAACCAGGAAAATATGCTACATTATCTAAAACTTTAAGTTTTAAAAACACAGTAAGAGGTCAAACCACTGGATAAGACAGAAAGCTTGTTGAACAAACTGAGTCTGCATGTAGATATGGTGCTTGCTCCAAAGTAGTTCCTTACATTTTTTAAAAAATTGGAAATGCACATCTACACACAGACTATCATAAAAAGGGTACAGTGTTTTTCATTCTGAACAGCCAATTCTGTGCAATATAAATTGCATAAATCATGAAAATAACCTTCATTTAAAAAAGATTACTAATCCATGTGCATATCTTCTGTTCCGCTCTTTGTCAAGAGAAATAATAGTTCTTTAAACTTCTGAGGAAAAAAAACACAGGTAACAGAAGAGCCTTTACATCAACAAAGTCTCTGAAGCATCTGATTGACTGAGATGCATTTAAATTATTTCCCCTTGCCGTTTTCTTCCTCCTCCCATCTCTATACCCCGTGAACTTCTTCAGTAGAATCTTAAAGCTACTGCTACTTTACATCTAGCCTCCCATATCAGAAGCACACATCAAAGAACGACAAACATCAGCTTGCTTATTCCCTGTTTATCTGTCAGATATAACATTCTTAATTTTTTAAAAAAAATAAAGCAGATTTTTTTTGTGGTTAAGAATTGTTGAATCAATTCACCAATCTGGTTGTTTTTATCAAAACTGTATTAATAATGATTCGGTTAATCTTTCAATATCTAAATGTGGGCATATACAAGATCTACAACAGAAACTAAAATAGCCAAAACACCGAAATTATTAAGTAACACTCTGTATCTTCTTAACCACCTTCTTTTTGACTGATAAAGAGAAATCCTTCAAAGTATAGTAGGATTTGAGTTATTTGAAATATACAGAAAGGAGCTATGGTTAAACTACCATCTTTAATATTATCTATTAAAAATAACAGCACAATATACTATACATGTGTATTCAGAAAGATAACTGAGTTTAGCAGGGCTTGCTACCAGATAAATAGGTATAGGACAGTGGTTCTCAACCTGTGGGTCCCCAGATGTTTTGGTCTTCAACACCCAGAAATCCTAACAGCTGGTAAACTGGCTGTGATTTCTGCAAGTTGTAGGCCAAAACACCTGGGGACCCATAAGTTGAGAACCACTGGTATAGGATTAAAGTGGCAGGTTATTAATTCCATGCACAATTACTTTGAAGAAAACTCAACAAATTCTGCAGGACTTCTGAATAAACATGCACAGAAATGAACTTGACTACATTTAACCTCATTCACTTCTAAGGACTTGTTCTCTATCCCTCCCCACCCCCCATGCCCCTGGCTCCCTGCAACAAGCTAAAAATTAATGATTAAAGCTATAAAATTAAGATGATTTAATTTTATAGCAAATGTTGAATAATTTCAGCATGAAATGTATGGGCAGAAAATGACTACCAAACCTGCTGGCATATTTCAAAGAAGCCAAAGTAAGTGGCTTTATATACAAAGTTGAGTGCAACAAAAAGGTAAAGATGGGGGGTTATCAAGGTCTGCTTCCTTGTTTTTTAGAGATTTCTTTGCAAAACCTAGTTGCTCAGCTATATTTTAAATAGATGAAGTGAAGAATTCTGATATATTTTGCTATCTCACAAAGATCCCCATGAGTATCTACTTAGTAATATTCATTTTCAAATAACAAGACTGCCATACAGAGCACTATCTGCACAGCCATCTTGTTATTGCACTCTGAACCAGCAATTTTCCCATTTCTGTTACTTTTTAATTCATGATAGCCACTCAACTGATAAGAGGCTTTTCAGGTAACTCAAGCTACAGAAAAGTTACAGATCCTTACCTGCCACTCCAGCTGAGGTCATGTGCACTTGGGTCGAGTCTGGCTCGAGGATATTATTCAGTACTTCTTTGCAGTTGGAATAAGCAGCAAAATATATTGCTCTAAAATCAAAACAATTTAAACAGGATTAGCTATGGATTAACAAATACAGAACATTTTTTATTGTTTGTAGAAAAAGAATGTTCATCTAGTCACGTTAGGGCTTACATTTCTTTTAACCTGAATACAACCTAGATAGTTTTGTAAGTTTGCAACTACTTCTAAGTAGCACCTGAAAGAGGGTGCATTTATTGATACAAGTCCCTTTGGCTAATGTGAAATTATTAATGTAGAATCAATGTTTTTCTTTTTTAAAAAAAACCTTTTACACACTTCACATGCCTTTGTTCAGTGTGTGCATGCACCCAAATAAAGAAGCTCCTTTTTTCCATATCTTTTTATTGTAGCCCACTTCAGTTTTCCTTTTCTTGTTTTCTGTCTATCTGATGATGTTTGGGGGTTTGTTTTTCGCAACACTGGCATTAGCAGGATAGTGAGGGACGAATGGAAAAAGGCAGACTTCAGTGTGGGTTACAGCAGCTTGTTTACAGGACAATAAAGCTTGACTTCTGGATGAGATTCTACTTTACATGATCCTATTGTAGCTGTGTGTGCAACAAGCAACATAGATAGCGGTCTCCAGATTCACTTGCTGAACATGTATGAAGAAGAGAACACAAAGGATGAAAGCAGAGTAGACCATGTCCCCATGCTGAAAAATATCAGATTAAATTCCATTGTCCAAATGGAAATCATAACAAATGTGGAGGCTTTTGAAAGAAAGAAAAAAATCACCTCAGGTTGCATTTTGGAGGAAGCTTTCGAGTGGCCTCTAGAAGACTTGAAATATTTTGTTTGAAATGCATGCAGATCCTAGTTGGTTGATTTCACATGCACATTTTTTTGTCAGCAGCGATTTGAGAAACTGCAAGTTGCTTCTGATATGAGAGAATTGGCCATCTGCAAGGACATTGCACAGGGGATGCCCGGATGTTTTCCTATCCTTGTGGGAGGCTTCTCTCATGTCCCCCACATGGGAAGCTGGAGCTGACAGAGGGAGCTCAACCCACTCTCCCCGGATCTGAATTGCTGACCTACAGGTCAGCAATCCTGCCAACACAAGAGTTTAACCCACTGCATCACCAGGGGCTCAATGTGCATGGTGCTAGTTTTGTATTTTTAAAATAGATGAAACGGGCTGAACTCTTCTTTTTTTAGTGATGTAGTAAACCATCCCTATTTTTCATGTTATTTCTATCTCTGGTATCAGATTTCTGTAAAAGAAATAAATCCTAGGTATACATCTATAGTTAACTGAGGTATTGTTTTTGTATAACTTCAAGTCATTTTTATCTATGATGATCTTAAGATGAATTTATCATGGGGTTTTCTTGGCAAGATTTGTTCAGAAATGGTTTGCTATGGTCTTTCTCTGAAGATGAGAGAGCATGACTTGCCCAAGGATATCAAGAGGGTTTCATGGCCTAGCAGGAATTTGAACTTTGCTCCTCAGAGTTGTAATCCAATGTTGAAACCACTACTCCACACTGGCTTCAGTATACAGGCAGTCCTCGAGTTACAAACATCCGCCTAACAAACAACACATAATTACAAACAGGGACAAGGCAACAAGAAGTCAGAGAAATCAACCCATCGGAAAGGAAATCTACTCCTGTAAGAGTTACCATGGAGAAAGGGTATCTCAATTGAAGTTGTATCACCAATCCTTGTTTCTACAAGTCAAATTTTCAAAATCCACAGGGACAGAAATCTTCTGAGCAGGGGCACAGACAGCAAAAGAAATGCCACAGGGGTGTTAATTCTTATACTATCCAAAGCTTTATATATATATGGCTGGAGTTACACTTTAAAATGCACCTGTTTCAACTTACAAACAAAAATCTACAAAACCTATCTAGCTCATAACTTGGGAGACTGCCTGTATTTTAATAATGCTAATTTTCCCACAAGGGGGCAGGAAAGAGTTTTCTTTATATTTTTATTATGCTATTAAAGTTTGTTCTTATTTAGTACTTTTGTTTTTCTTAGCGACCTAAAAATAACTTTAATGAATAGTACTTAAGAACAAGCCAAACGAACAATTTTATCACAATGTGTAGTTTAATTAGATGTACCTTAGCTTTTAACTGGTAGTTTAAAAATGCATTCAGCAAAGTTTATAATATGAAAGATATCCAGGTCTGCATGAAACAGATCATTAAGTTAAAGTCATTAGCTCTGCAAACATGTGGCCTTTCACAAGGATATGATAAAGTGGCCATTTTATGTGGTGTAATTAGAAAAATGGAATTCAAAATCACTGAAGTACACTACACATGTTACAAAACAAGTTTCCTCACTGCTTATTCAAACAGACAGATGCTGTTAAAGCTACTTAGCAAATGTTTAAATTAAAGAAAAAAGTATTTGTCCAAGCCTGATGACTGGAAAACTCACGATATATTCATTCATGAGCAAGTCTTGCATAAAAACTATGGAAAAGTTTATCATTACATTTTACCGGCAGAAGGGAAGGACAGATTATTTCAGGTAAACCTATAAAACTGAAAATACACATGGAAGCTACATGTTCTTTTGTTTCTTTATCTATATGTTTTGCTTTATTAACTTTTTCTTATCATGTTACCAATATTAAATCCTTAATGGACCATAAGATTTTTTTAAAAAAACAAACAGCAAATGCCTAATTTTCTACTATAGCAAAAACTAGATAAAGATACAATTGGTTCCAATGGAAATGCTTAAAACAGTCTCAAAGCTATCCTTACATCTCAATTTCTAACAGATTGAAACTGCCAGGCTTTTTCAGCAATCTTAAGCCTTGTTATATTTATACATGTTTTGTTATGATGCATATTAAGTATGATTTCATATGAGGTAGAAGCCAACCAGAATTGATGGCCCTGCAACTGCTCATCTATGGATAGTAGGGATTTCTACTGCAACCTCTCCTTTATTTAATGAATACGGTAATTGATTATTCATTTTGTGACAAAGCATACGCAATATTTATCAACACATAAACAGGTGCAACATGATACCAAAGTGGGAGAAAAGGGGTGAGGGGAGAATAAGCAACATTCTGTAGGATTATGAGAATGATGAGCAGACCATCATCTATCTACAATGGTACAGAGACAGTTGTTGCTGTGGTGCACCTTCACATTTTTGACTAATACAGACACTAAGATGATCCTATCACAGGGTTCCTTGGCAAAAATGGTTCAAATGAGATTTGCCATTGCCTTCCTCTGAAGATGAGATATTGTGGCTTGCCAAATGTCATTCAATGGATTTCCATGGGCAAAAAGGGATTTGAATCCTGATTTCCAGAGTTAATAGTTCCACACTAAAAGCGCAACACCATATTCGCTCTCTACAGGGAAAGTGTTGTGACAGTATTTTGTTCTATTCTATGAAGAAAGCTATCCCTATGGATAATGTTGCTTAAATGCATCTCCAGGGAAAAGTGTTTGGACTGAGGGTCAGGCCTGTTGGGATGAATTGAGCCTCCTTCTTTACTCAAAGGTGACCTGAGATAATTTACAGGATAACATACTATAGCATGTCTGGTGAGTATCCAGAACTGGGCATGCAGCCATTTTATCCAGACAACAGGAGGGTTGGGTTTTTTTAAAACATATCTCCATTTTTGCTATTACAATCTAATTATTATTTTTCACAGTTCATTCAACACATTAATTATCTCTTACAGGAAAGGAAGGAAATTTGCTATCTGTGCCAAAGTGTATTCCACTCTAGAATTCTATGTATTTCCTGTGCTGCTTGAGATCTTTATAATCTTAAGGATTTATTATTTACTGCCTTACTGGAGTAGTAAGATCACCTTAGCCCAGCTGTCTTTGATAAAAAATTAAACATAATTTTTATGCTAGAAGTATAACCATTACAAATTAGACCTGCCTATATAAATAGTTATATTTTTAAAGAAGCATACCATCTAGTTCTGGAGCAAAATAGTGCCTAGTGGCATTTCCAAATTTTATTTAGCATAACTCACATAGACTGTAGCTCACTTCATGACATTCAGTTCACAAAAGCACACACTGAATAAATTATGTTAGTCTTCAAGGTACCACAAGACAACTTCTCTGTGTAATAAGGCTTCTCATATATATTTATAAACTTCAGTGGCAAAGGTGAAAAAAGTGAAAATTCATAGCAATTGTCAAGTCACTGACAGATATATTAACTGTTGCTGTGTGACTTATGGTAACATTAAGGTGAGCATATCATGGGTTTTTATAGCAACAGATGTTCAGAGGGGGTTTGCCTTTGCTTTTCTGTGAGGCCAATGCCATTTGACTTGCCCAAAGTCAACCCACAAGTATCCATGCCTGAGCAGAGATTTGAACCCTGGTCTCCAGAGTCATAGTCCAATATTCAAACCATTACACCATGTTGGTTCTTTCACCCGTTAACATCAAGACCTAGCAATTATAGTGAACTTCTACCTGCCAACAAAACATGGTTGACAACTCTGGCAATAAGCCAAATTAAATTAAGAAACCAAATTACATAAGCTAAAGATATAGGTAATGTGTACATACACACATACTACATAGTCATATCTGAGTGGTACGTGTACAATATATTACACAACTCTGCCACCCACCAAAAAAAAAATTCCCACCCCACATTCATATCCATTGACTGAAAGGAAAATATTACAAACTTCTACTATCAGATTAAAAATATTCCTTTTGAAAACTTGCACCAATAACTAAGAGGATGTTACCTGGATGGAGCCACGCCTACCAAGTTAGGACCTAGTCCCCGGAAGAGTGAGCGAGGCCCCTCCTTTTGCAAAATCATTCTGAAAAAGAACCACATATAATATATATTTAACAAATAAAATATAAATTGCATCATCCAAATTACATTATTAGCATTTTGTCTTCAAGATATAAAGAAAAGGGAACCTGTCTATAATATAGACAACCCAAGAAAATGAAGAAAAAAATTCAGGATTGATTAGGAACAGTTCAAAATCCTTCTTCAATCTGAATATAATTAGCCCCATAAAGGAAACTGAGGATGATAGCGGCATATGGCAGGCTACTGATGTGGGTGCATTAAACCAAGTATTTTTCCTATGACAGTGTACATAAATGAAGAATCCAATATTCCAAGTCTGGCCTAGATTGTCAGAGTAAAGGCCACTGCAAATTCTGTACATAATAATAGCTACAAAAAGTACCTATTCAATTGAAAACAAAGTATAGTGGAAAAACATGTGACAAAAAACATGCTAGCCCCGCCACCGTTGTCATAATTTCAATTGCCTTCTTCATGAGTAGGGTGACAGTAGAAAACTGCCATTATGTATGGAAGATCTCCATGGAAGCCGGGAAAATCAGGCTTTCAGGAGACTCTTGGATTCATGCTGCGATCTTCCATGTGGAAAATTAAACTACAGACAGTATTATCTCCCCTGATTACACTGTTCATTTAATACTGTTTCCTTATGATACAAGTAGGGCTACGATGCCCTCAGCATGAAACTTGTTCTGTTATTAATTAAAACAATAAGCAACATTCCTGAGGTAGTATCATCTCACATGAAAGTCAAGGTGGTATAGACTAAAACATCTCAGAGAAGTCTAGAGAAAAACTTGGGCTCCCTATCCCCTGCTGACAGGGGATAGGGAAAAGGCAGAACTACTTAATGCCTTCTTTGCCTCGGTCTTCTCACAAAAAGAGAGTCTTCAACCTCAGCAAGATGGAATGGATGAGGGATTGGAGGACATCCAACCCCAAATTGGGAAAGAAGTCGTCCAGGAATACCTGGCCGCTCTTAAGAGTTCAAGTCCCCAGGGCCAGATCAACTACACCCCAGAGTATTGAAGGAACTAGCGGAAGTCATTTCGGAACCATTGGCAACCATCTTTGAGAGTTCTTGGAGAACGGGAGAAGTTCCAGCAGATTGGAGGAGGGCCAATGTGGTCCCAATCTTCAAGAAGGGAAAAAAGGATGACCCAAACAACTACCGTCCGTCAGCCTCACGTCAATACCAGGCAAGATTCTGGAAAAGATTGTTAAGGAAGCGGTCTGCAAACACTTAGAAACAAATGCAGTCATCGCTAATAGTCAACATGGATTTATCAAAAACAAGTCATGCCAGACTAATCTGATCTCTTTCTTCGATAGAGATACAAGCTGGGTAGATGCGGGGAATGCCGTGGATGTAGCGTACCTGGATTTCAGTAAGGCCTTCGACAAGGTCCCCCATGACCTTCTGGCAAGGAAACTAGTCCAATGTGGGCTAGGCAAAACTACGGTGAGGTGGATCTGTAATTGGTTAAGTGGACGAACACAGAGAGTGCTCACTAATGCTTTCTCTTCATCTTGGAAAGAAGTGACAAGTGGAGTGCCGCAGGGTTCCGTCCTGGGCCCGGTCCTGTTCAACATCTTTATTAATGACTTAGATGAAGGGCTAGAAGGCATGATCATCAAGTTTGCAGACGACACCAAATTGGGAGGGATAGCCAATACTCCAGAGGACAGGAGCAGATTCAAAACGATCTTGACAGATTAGAGAGATGGGCCAAAACTAACAAAATGAAGTTCAACAGTGACAAATGCAAGATACTCCACTTTGGCAGAAAAAATGAAATGCAAAGTTACAGAATGGGTGACGCCTGGCTCGAGAGCAGTACGTGTGAAAAAGATCTTGGAGTCCTCGTGGACAACAAGTTAAACATGAGCCAACAATGTGATGTGGCGGCAAAAAAAGCCAATGGGATTTTGGCCTGCATCAATAGGAGCATAGTGTCTAGATCTAGGGAAGTCATGCTACCCCTCTATTCCGCTTTGTTAGACCACACCTGGAATACTGTGTCCAATTCTGGGCACCACAATTCAAGAGAGATATTGACAAGCTGGAATGTGTCCAGAGGAGGGCGACTAAAATGATCAAGGGTCTGGAGAACAAGCCCTATGAGGAGCGGCTTAGGGAACTGGGCATGTTTAGCCTGAAGAAGAGAAGGCTGAGAGGAGATATGATAGCCATGTATAAATATGTGAGAGGAAGCAAGCTTGTTTTCTGCTTCCCTGGAGACTAGGACGTGGAACAATGGCTTCAAACTACAAGAAAGGAGATTCCATCTGAATATTAGGAAGAACTTCCTGACTGTGAGAGCTGTTCAGCAGTGGAACTCTCTGCCCCGGAGTGTGGTGGAGGCTCCTTCTTTGGAAGCTTCTAAACAGAGGCTGGATGGCCATCTGTCAGGGGTGATTTGAATGCAATATTCCTGCTTCTTGGCAGGGGGTTGGACTGGATGGCCCATGAGGTCTCTTCCAACTCTTTGATTCTATGAAGCATAAACAATTATGCATGGTGTGGAAAAGTAGATAGAGTGAAGTTTCTTTCACATACGTACTCTTAGAATCTCAGATCATACAAAGATGCTGAATGGTGGGATACTGAGAACAGACAGACGTACATGAACTGTAGAAGGTAGTGATGGCCAGAAACTCAAATCAGCTGTAGGAGGTGACATAGGTTTATGGCAGGATTTATGGTTACTCTGACAGCTATATATCATTCCCTTTATCAGAGGCAATGTGTCCCTGCATTTCACTTGTTGGTAAGCACAAGTGTCAGGAAGTTATTGGTCTCATGTTCTGATTGTAGGCTTTTCACTTCCAATTTCAAAATCCTCAAAGATATTCAATAAACAACTGTATTGGCTTTCCAGAATACAAGGAAACATTAATTGTGGGGAAATGGAAAAATGGGGCAAGTTATGACTACAGGAGGGAGCAGTAACTACCATATTTACGCAATTCTAATGCACTTTTTTGGGGCTAAATGGCCATGCCAAAATTGGGGTGCACATTACTTTCGTGTAATGCAGTAATGGCTCTCCCTGCTTGCCGCAATCCGCGGCTTCCTTGGCTTGCGGGGGCAGGCTCCCTCACTGGCAGCTTGCTGCAGACCCCAGGAGAAGAGGAGAAAGAAGAGAAGAAGGTGGCTGCTGCTCTGGGATCTGCAACAAGCGGCTGGCAAAGGAGCTGACCCTGGCAAGGCGGCAACCCTGGCAAGCCAAGGGGGCTCCTCCTCTAGCTTTGTGGCCGCAGCCGCCTTCGCCTTTTTCTCCTTTCCTCCTGGAGCCTGCAGCAAGCAGCCAGTGAGGAAGCTCACTCTGGCAAGGTGGTGAAGGTGGAGGAGGAGCAGCTTCCTTGGCTTGCTGGGGCTGCCACCTTGCCAGGGCTGGCTCCCTCGCTGCAGCCTCGAAGTGGAGGAGGAGATGAAGGCAGCATCCCCAAGAGGAAGGCAGGCAAGCAAGGGGCAAAAGAGACTGAGGAGGAGAGCTGCTCCTCAGGAGCCCTAGGGCCTCAAGAGTGGCAGTGGAGGAGCAGCAGCAGAACCCATCAAGGTCCTGGGCTCGCCCACAGGGTGCCCGTTCCTTCCTAGTCTTCTCTTTGGGCTCCATGAAAGAGAAGAGCGAAGAAAGAAGGAAGGATGGGGCTCCATGCTCTCTTGCCTCCACGCCTCACGTCCCGTCTCGACTCAGTCCGCCCAGCCCCAAAGCACGATGGGAAAGGCCGCTGCAGAGTTCTTCTCCTTCTTTTTCTCCCTTCCACCCTTCCTTCTGTCTTATCTTCCCCCTTTCCATCTTTCTCTCCCTTCCACCCTTCCTTCTCTATGCCTTTTCTTTCTTTCTTTCTTTCTTTCCTTCTTTCCCTCCCTCCCTCCACCCTTACTTCTCTCTTCCTTTTCTTTCTTCCTTTCTTTCTTATACCTTCTTTCCATTCCCTTTCCCTCTCAATGCCTTTTCTTTCTTTTTCCTTCTTGCACCTTCTTTCCATTCTTTCCCCCTCTCTCGCTTTTTTCAAGGCTTCTTTCTCCCCTTCCTTCTTGTACTTTCTTTCCATTCTCTTTTTTCTCTCTGCCTTATCTTTCTAGGCTCCTTGAGGGAAGGGTTACTTGATTCTTGGTGTTACTCTCAATTGCTGGAAGACTTGGTGATGCAACACTGTTTATTTTAAAATAAGGAATTCTAAGCGCACAGCAACACCTTTTTGACCAAATTACAAAGAGGGCACTTTTTGCTGTTGCGCATTAAATTCACTAGCATTTTTTTTTTTTGGTTTCAGGGTCTTGAAAATTGGGCTACACATTAGATTTGATGGTGCACTAAATTCAAGTAAATACGATATTTTCCCTGACTATAATAGAACGGCTTTTGTTAGCATGTTAAATAAAAATAAAATCATTTCCAGGCATGATCTCAGTTACAAGCATTTGTGAGACATCTAACACACACATTGGAGATATTGCTGACGAGGAGGAGATTGATTGTGTTTCTTGCAAGACTGGAATTTATTTACCTGATTTTAAATTATTGTATCAAGATTACAATATTTCTGTACAATCAAATAATCATATCAGAAGTAGTTTTAAAAGTAAATAATATTTTATAGAAATTCAGCCCATAATATGTTTACAGGTATATTTAAAGCAGGCAACATGTTGACTATCCACAAAGTAGGAAAATTGTCAATTCTGTCTTAAACTACAGTACCCGCAGAAGGATAATTTACACAGTCAGTTCAGGACTGTTTTGGTTCCAAAGCAAACTTATTACCTAGTCAGTATGTTGCAATATATACCATTCTGGCTTATCAATTTGGTGATGTGCTAAATAATGTTAGAAATACTTCAATACTTCTTCAAAACCTTTCTTGTTCAAACAGAAAAGAAGGTTAATGACATGAAAGTTGAGCAATCTGCAAACAATGTCATAAAAGACTCCTGCTTTCAACTGTTTAAAGTGATCATTCTCTGTGTACATGCCCAATTCAAAACAATGGTTCAAAGACTCAATAGTTGGGGGTTGTTTTGGCTGCACATGTCGTTTGCCCTAATTTTTTATCCAGCCATACAACAAATTTGATCTCAAAGTGCATCATTTTAAAGATATTTATTTATAAACAAACTTGTCTTCCACCTGCTTAATACTGTGTATAATCAATCTCCAGCGCCTTGAAATATGCTGTTCAATTGCATTCCTGAATGATAATATATCTGAGATTCATTGCTATTCAGGAATGCAACTATGCAACATATTTCAAAGCTCTACATTCTAAACAGTTGGTTACTATTTCATTATTCTAACTACTGGGTTAAGAGAATGGTAGTGCAAAACATAGTTTACCAAATGAGGCATAAAAGATGTTGCTGTTAATCCTGTCTGTTATGTGTAAAGATTTCCTCATTATACTGTATATGCCCCCCTCCCCCATCCTATCCTACAATTGTCAAATATATATCATAAGCAGCTGAACAAGTATGGAGTGCAGAACAAATTTAGGCTGAAGTGAACTGAGCCTTCTAGTTAGATTCGTTGCTCATATCCTCATTCTCAGTCTCTCTCTTTTTGCCATCACCCACCTAATTCAACCTTTGAGATAGTGTCTGCAGTGCTCATGTCTCAGATCCTTAGTCTCTCTAGCCTCACATTTCCTTTGTCTGCTACTTTTGTGTATGAAATGCAAGGTTAAAAAAGATGGAGAGCCTGAGAGAGAAACAAGCAGAAATGCTGTGGAACTACTACTTCAAAGGCAGAAACAGGTGTCTGGTGGCAAAAAGAGAGAGACTGAGGACCTGAGTGATGAACTAACAAAAATTCTGTCATCTCAAAGGCAGAGATAGGCTCCTAGGGGCAAAGTTTCATTTTTCCACCATTATATACCCACAGTCTCTGTCCAGCCTTGCATCTCAAACACAACACAAACAGAGACTGAACAAGACATGTGGTTGAAGAGATGGATCACCAATGAAGGCAGGTTCCCCATGATTAAAAAGAGGAACTATTTATGTTTAAGAATTGGATCCCAGCTCTAAAATATCTCATGATGAATATGATATTGCAAGTACAGTAGTCCAAAATCTGAAACATTTCTGGCTTCAAGCATTTCAGATAAGAGATATCTAACCTATATAGAACACAATTCGAAAACAAATTATCCAGATAAAATAACACAAATCTAAGAGTATGGAGTAGCAAATGAAAAAGGATCAATTCAAGTAAGAGGAAAACCCTTTGTGGGTAAGAAGCCTAGAGTTCCTGGAGTCCTAATCTCAAACAGACTGTTAAAGAGAGAGAGAATTGAAAGATAGGGAGGAGTTGGGTTGTATAGGGCTTTGATAGTCAAAACAAGAAGCTTGTACCAAATCCTGCAAGGAATAGGTAACTAATGAAAATATGATTAAAATGCAGCCCAAAAAGATAATATTAGAGGACTAAGGTGAGATAATAATAATAAAGGCAGGAAATGAACAGGGCGTGGACTCACATCTCAATGGAGGAAGCAGACAGAAAATGTCTCATTTTGGTAATATATAAAAAATAACAAGATGACTTTGCTACACCCTTAATGTGAAGGAAAAAAATTAAGACTACATGTTTCCTTCACAGGATAAGTGAGAATATTATCAACAATGACAAAGAAAATTGTTCTAAAGACAATCTTGGATGATAAATAAGCAATTCTGTCTATGCTATGTGAAGTTTCAAGTGAAGATTAAGCATCTATGCTGATCTTGCTGAAAGACAAGCTGTAATATCATGTTTGATATCAGAAGAGAGTTCCGGAGTCAAGAAATTTGGCTGAATATCATCAGCATGAAGAGAATACTGAAAACCATACAAGCTGTTAAGATCAGCTAAAGGTAGTGTATAAAATGAAAACAACAAAAACACAAATCGGCACCCTATGGAAACCCAATCAAAAGGGGAAAAGATGTTGCATGACCTTCATACTCTACCACATTAAATGATTGACTGGAGAGATAAGTTAAGAAGCAGCCGAGGACTGAATCAATAAACTCTGGGTCATAAAGTGAATCCAACAAAAGAGCATGATCCTATATTAAAGGCTGAAGAGAGACCAGGGAGCTCGTTTCTCTCAATTCTTTTAAGGCAGTGGGACTAATGATTCAGACATTTGTTGGAAGGAATCCCAAGGATCACAGTGTAATCCCCTGCCAGTAACCATTCCATCATAACCATTACCAAGCGGTAGCCATCCAACCATTAGAAATCTCCAATGAAGGAGACTCCATCGCCGTCCTCTGACTGAGTACTACTGTTGTCCATAATGCAGGAAGAATAACACTTTATTGTACATTAACATGCAATTAATTAGCCCAAGTTTTTAAAATTTAAAATTCACATTTTGTTCTGTACTCATAACAAAAGCCAAATTCAATCATACAGAAGTAGTCTGAAACTGTGAGAAATAAATGCCTTACAGAAGCAGCAATACGCAAAAGGTTTGCAGGGAAACATTAAATCACAGACTGGTTCTGTATTATCAAGGAACCCAAATATAGCAGTGTTCTTTAACTTACTCTGGGGGCATTGCTCGCAACTTTGCTTTTGTTTCAAGTTAAAATCAGAGTTAGAAAATTCTACAAGGCTGTCCAGTCCAACCTCCTGCTATGCAAAAGTACGCAATCAAATACTCCCAACAGATGGCCATTGAGCCTCTGTTTAAAATTGTCTAGTGAAGACTCAATCATCTGTTGCGGCAGGATATTACACTGTTGAATAGCTCTTGCTGTCAGGAAGTTCTTCCTACTTTTTAGGTGAGAAGAAAACAAGCTGGCTCCATATCCACATGGTATTTTTTTCAAATATTTAAGCATGGCTCTTGTGTCACGCCTTAACTCTCTCATCTCAAGACTAAATATACCCTGGCAGCCTGTTTAATGATCTGTTTTAAAATCTGTCCTGATTTAGATTGAGTATCCTTTATCTGGAGTCCCAAAATGTTGTTCATCTGGCCCTGGAAACTTACATTAATTTAGTGTAACCGGTATTCCTGTACTAATTCTTACCTATTCTGGGCTGTATTTCCCCAACTGCATCATCTAATTCACTTCCCACAAGCTGAGCACTGTTCTCCTTTTGAAAGAAGACCAAGACAAAGAACTGCTCGATTCTGTCTTTTGTCTAGCAGTCACCAGAATAGTACATTTCATATGTGAATGCATTTATAGATTTTTTTAGAATGCAGGAATAAATTTTTCTGGTGTTTTTTCCCCTTTCCTTTTTATTTATTTATTTATTGGCAAATGATGCCAGAATGACTTGACACTTTTAGAGTGATCAACTATTCCTTAGTCAGTTGCTACTAGCTCATTTAGTGTATATATAGGTTTGAGATTTTTTGCATCACATCACAGCAGTTTTTATATTTACATTTAGCAGTAATTACTTAGTAATTCTTTTTATAGCATCCATAGTTGATTCAGACCCGTTCTATACTGCCATATAAATCCAAATTATCTGCTTTGAACTGAATTATATGGAAGTGTAGAAGGGGCCTTAGAGTTGTCTGAAGAATTTACATTAAGTCATTATCTGAAACCATTCTGACAAACTATATTTTGCCCTGTTAAAAGGGTTTTAATAACAAATATATAACTTGATAGAGGGAATAAGAGAAAATTTGAGGGAGTATCTATTGGGAAGTTTGGCCCCACACATGGATCTCACAGTTTTCAATGGAATTCAGAGTTCCACATTACGTTTTTTTAAAAAATATATATATACTCAAACTGTTCACCCACTTTTCTCTCAAGAATTTTGCCAAGTTTCAGCACTGTACTGGAACAGTATGTGAATAACAGTATGTGAATAACTTCCAATTTTTCATGCCTAAGATGTCTGAGGGAAATGAAATAATCTCTCTAGCACTCCTGTATAGTATGACATTTTGTGTAGAAAAATGGGCGTGAAGGCCAATAGAGGCCTTAAAACACCGCTGAAAAGAAATCAGGCAGGAGTTTGGACTGGATGATGTTGACTAGCAGCACACATTTGGTCCATTGTTTCAACTTTGACTACAGGTTGTTATATACAAATGGTGACCTACATTTTATTTTCCGGAACTGTTGATTTAGGCATAGGAATAGCCACTTATAAGAAAATGTCATATAAATAACAAGGTGATGTGATTTATTTTCTGACACTTATTTTTGTTTCTTATTAGAAGCATACCATATACCACTGGAAGGCAAAGAAAAAACATAGGAGAGTTGTATATCTAGAAGGGAAAGAAACATGTACTCACTTTAAGCAATGGAGAGGCCCCGGGGAAACTCTAGTTACACGATTAACACTGGCACCATTCACAGTATTTAGATGAACTTCGGAGATATAGAGGGTAACAGAAGAAGACTGCAGCCGTGTTTTCACAACTTCTAGTGGACATGTCAGAATTGCACCTACAGTGCCCCCACATCTGTCAAGGAGAAAAAAAACATGCAAATAAGCCTTTCAAATTAGCAAAGAATTACAGAAATAAGAGAACACACAACAAGCTTATATCTTCTCTTCTCTTCTCTTCTCTTCACTTCACTTTATTTCTTAATTAGTCGCTCTCCACCAAGGTGCTCCGAGCGACTTACAATTTAAAAATATCCGACAAATATTTTTCTCCAGTTCAATTAATAACAGATTATCTCTTTTGATTATCTGTTATCTATCGCTTATGTTGCATGTAATATGAAAAACTGGGATGTCAGGGCTCTTCTGACATGAAGACAAGCAGTTTATTTTTTAAGGGAGAGATAACATTATGATTGGTGAGCAACAGTGTATAGAACTAGACTAGTTCTAGGTAATTTCCATAAGCAAACACTAAACCACCATTAACTAGGGCACAAGGACAACAATCAGATCTCATCTGGATCACTTTTAATGATACTGACCTAGAAGTATCAATTTACCAACCATTCTATATGGCTTTGCCCCAACACCAAATTAGCACTGTGTAAACCTCCAAGCCTTTAAAATAGATATGAAGTCCATCAATGTGAGTTTCTAGTTTCAGCAGCTTGATTTCCCACTTGTGGAATGACACAATTACCGCAAATAACTTGTGAAGTGAAAGTTCTTTTATCATAGTAGTTGACTTTTAGATGTCTTTCTTAATATCAATTTGCACATCCTATATAGAATATCTTTTTCACTGTACAAATGGAGCTCTGTCTAAAATCTAATTTTCCTTCATTCAGTTTTTTCATATATATTCATATCAAAGAACATGACTTCTTAAGTTTCACAGAATGCTAATCACTGGTGCTCCTGTTCCATTAAATACTGCATCAAAAGAATTCACTTCAGATAAAAAAACTGGGTTAATTTGAAACACACATGCAACACCTATTGCCCAACTGCAGTTTTTTTACTTCAAGAATAAAGAGCCTTACTTCTTGTGCTGTCCCTAAATAAAGTTCAGTCTTGGTCAGCACATAAAAAGAACTAACAGTGTCTTGTTAAATATATCACCAGTGCCCTTAAAATACGCAATAAATGTTATGTTAGTACAAATTTAACAACAGGTGGGGCAGATAAAACCAGAGTTAAAAAAAAAAAGAATGTTCATGATTTCTGTTCAAAATACTTTAAAGTGTTTCCCTTTATTTATCTACTAAACTTGTTATTATAAATGTATGAAGTAAAACAAAACTTTATCAGTCTTTAACAGAAAGCTAGTAACTTCTATCCTTAAAAAATTGAACCTATAGTTGAACAAGTATTTTTATCATATGCAGGGTTTTTAAAAGATGTACTGTTACTACACAACACATAAATGCTAATTTACTGTACAGTCACCCCTCCGCATCCTCAGACTCAACCATTCAAAGCTTGAAAATATTCCCTCTTACAAAAACATCAGGTCAAATCACACCCAAAATCCAAAAAGGATATGATTATTATGCTACTGTATATACATTATATTTGGTATTCCGGGGGGAGACGTTCTAGAACCAAATCCTAGCCAGTAAGTACATTATTCTATTTTCCCCCTTCCAAATTCTGAGTAACTTCTGAACTGTGAGAGCTCATTTAAATACACATGCCTATAGGTTTCTCTGCACAACACTGTGAATGCTTTTGGGCTTATTTCATATAAGTGCTGTGAAAAACAGTCATTTTAAATACTCTAGGACTAAGCTTTTCACTTCCAGAGTTATATAAAAACTCTTTCACTCTTCAGGATCACTGAGACTGTTTTCTTGGATGACCTGCACCAAAAATACTTGCTTTCACCCACTAAGAACAAATATTGAAGTATTTGTTGATATTTCGACAGGAGAAGTGAGATCAGAAATGAATTCATAAACAAGAAGTGCTCCAGCTTTTAGTATTATTTCTGTTTTCAAACAAACTCTGCTTTTCTGAGAACTTAGGTGTTGTGACTCTTAAAATAATTTGAGTCAACACTAACAGTAATCAAACACTAACTGTCTAGCTTTTAGACAATTTTATGTTTTCATCAACCTCAAATGCACTCACCAGAACACCTTGATTACTTGAAGCTTTACATGAATAGCAGTTACACAGTCTCCATTAAAGTAGTCACAGTATGTACTACAGGGTGAGGCAGCATAACTTCCTTTTACAAAACTTAATAAAACCCATTGTATGAATCAGAATTTATTTATTTTTTTATAATGTAGGCGCATACTTAAAGTTTTGTTTTACGTAGTTTTGAAGATCAAATTAGGTAGGTGACGTTCCCCATTCTCCATTCACTGAGTAAACCAATTTCTGGCATTTGTCATGACTCTTGCCAGCATAGCAGGGGTTATGTGGGCAATTTCTTCCTGGATGTTAGTCTTCAAATCTTGTAGGGTCCTTGGACGGTTCACATAAACACGGGATTTCAAAAAACCTCACAGAAAAAAATCAAAAGGGGCCAAATCTGGAGACCGGGCCGGCCACTCCAAATCCGCTCGAAAAGTAGGCCTCAACGGCAAAAGCACGCTCCTCACTGTTCCAACACATGATGGCAACTGAACTGTGTCAGGACAAAACTTTATACTCCTGCCTCTCGAGTGAGATCACTAGTGCTCCGCTACATCTTTAACTGACTGAATGGTATGCATTTTAAAAAAGGAAGTTATGCTGCCTCACCCTGTATAATGTTAACAGACAGATGTAGGGTTGCAACATTTAACCAACAAATATGTAGGAATAGTTTATTAAAATATAAGTGACACGAAGATACCCCTAATCTGATACTGCAATTAATACATTAGTTTTAACAGTACTGACCAGAAAGGTCCACGTAATGAGCACAGTATAAAAAGACCTTTCTTATTCAAAATGTTGAGATAATTTCCATGTGCATAGTATCAGGCATGTAAGCTCTGATAAAATACACATGAAAATTATCTAAACATCAGTTTTGCCTAATTACCATTTATTAGGAAAACCAATTCATAACTATAACCAATTCATCATTAATATTTCTTTAATTGCATAATGTTTCTATGCAAAACTTTAAATGCTTAAACTGGCTATAACGTATTTATAGAATAATCAGGGAATTTGATGAAACGTAGTGCTCAGTTTGTTGAATCAAAAATCATATTTTGTGGTTGCAAATGTGCATGGAGGAAGAAGCATAAGGAAGTTCTATTAACGTCCAGGTAGGATTTTAATTTACAGAATGTATGAGGAGAACCTCCTTTGTATTCACATATGACTTTCCCTGAGACATTGACAATGTGTGGCTATAGTGGTGAAATATCTGGTTTGTAACTTGATTTGATGGGAAATTCTTATACCCAGTCCTATTTATTCAAACTGTAATAGTAGATCACAGGAGTGGGTTGTATAATGCGCCTGAACAATTATTATAGCCGAATGATTACCATACAAGAAACAAAGGCTACTGAAGTTTCCAAGTAAATGATTAGTTATAGTAGCTTACTGAAAGCCCAGATACACATGGTCTTTGCAGTCAGCAACTCAGGAGAAAGCTATACTGCTGCCAAGAATCAGATTTTTACAACATAGTCATATCATTTACAAAAATAATTTCCCTAGTCCTTAACTATCTATTTCTAATTAGGCTCTTATCTACCTACCAGAAACAAAGTCTGAAGTTATTTCCACAGAGACAGCCTTAATGTATATTGGCTCTAGGACTGATTTTACTGCATGTCCCTTCCAGAAAAAATGCACTTGGACTGGCAACCTAAAGTTTTAAAAAACATCACTTCATAATAATACACAAGGACCTGTAGAAAAGGAATGAATGCTTTTTGCAGAAAACAAGGATGCTAAATAAAGGGGAAAAGCATCATAACTAGAGAAAAAAAACAGGTTCAAATTCTCCATTCATTCCACCACCAGCTCAAAACCTAATAAATACTCTAGGATTTTTAAAACCCTACTCCTTGGGAGAAATCTGGTTCATAATGAAACAATAGACACTAGGAAGCTAAAGTCTCTGTAACCTTTTGGAGAATTTCAGTGACTAAAACTCCTAAAAACCATGGAAGACGAAGAAGCCTTTCACTTATAGACAGTTCTTCCAATACCTTTTCCAGCTGTAGAATAACCTTTCTGAGATGCTTTAACTAGACCTGTTTAGTTAAAGTGCAGCTTCACCAGAGATTTCCATTACATTATGAACAGTTTCAATCTATTTTTTTCATTTCTTAGCTGCTCATCTCCAACACAAATTTTGCCTTTTTTTCAGAGAAGTTGCACACAAGCTTACTTTCCCCAAGCTCTTAATGACATTTCCAAAATCAGCTTAAAAACAAACCTGCAAAAACCTATCTTGTTCATAACTTGGGGGATGTCTGTATACTTGGTTAAAATCTGTAAAGTCTTTTAGGGAATGTGCCCAGATTACTTAGAAGCTTCCCAAGTTTTCCAGTTCTGATGGGAGGAAGAAAAGGGGCTTTCTCTCATATCCACCAGTAATCTTCTCTGCTCTTTTCCTTCTGTCTGGGCAAACATATAAGTCTTTGCCTGTTAATTGTTGCAGTTGGGTCTTGAATGAGGGGCCATGATACTTTTATCTTTATTATTATTGCTTTAGTGTTTTAAGAGTACTTTAAATCAATATTTTAATAAGATAGTTTTGAAATGAATTAAATACTTTGAATTGTAAGCTGTTTTAGCTATTTTAACTATACTAATTTGGTCCTAGATTAGGTGAAAAGTATGATGTTTATTTATTTATTT